ATTCTCAAAAGTATTTTCTTATAGGCGAAATAATAAATATGTTATAACGTAATTTTCTAATAGAATAATCATCTTGAAGAGATGATACTTTGCTTAAATGAAAATTTGTTAGTAAAATGATTGTGAAAACAATGTTCCCCGATGTGTACCAAGTGCGACCCAATTCACACGTGCTCGTGCTTCATCGTTTGTTTTGCATGCAATGTGATTATCGTACAAAAGAAGAAGCTTTTTGTAAGACGTCTAGACGACTGGCCTAAAGCTTACCCTGCTTTACACGATACAGTAACAATTCGGCTCTATTAGACCAATAAAATGTATCAAAGAGGAGGAATGCGCCCCGCGTCAGTCGTACATGTAGTGTCAGTTTGTTCATGTTTTGATATGCGGGGTGCGGGTGGACGATTAATTTAAATTCAACACGTTAGAATAATGCCAGAGCCAGAGAAGGTCAGTTACGATAGAGAAAAAAAAAATAGGCAATTTTTTATATAAAACAATATTAAAAATAAAATAATGATTTTTGTTTAATTTATAATTTAATAGGGAGAAATAGATTTAATGACTAGAGTTCCTTGGAGATAAAGAATGCTTCGTTTATCTTACAGTGATTCTTGCTACTAGTATGTACTTACACACATTGAATATTTGTGTAAAATTATTTCAAGTTGCTGCCAACTTACATGTTTAATATACAAAAATAAGAAAATCTTTAAAATTGTAGCAATTCGTAATTAATATATAACAAAATATGCAAGTATCTATGGCACAAAGTTCAGTTTAACCAATCTCATGTAGCTTTCAATGCTTGCCAAAGATAATTGTTATCTTTATCGAAAATTAATTACAATCCAACAACTTTCTTAGGAAGTGCTATAAGAGTAACACCTATATTTCTCTTACTTTATTTACTATTTTTTTTAAATTATGAATTACACTTATTTACAACATAAGAATCAAAAGCTTATTATAATTTGACAATATACTTTTTTATGATAACTAATATTAACGATTCTATTTATATATACGTTTATTACAAACCTATCTCGTGTATCATCTTCAAAAATTTTATTTTTCGAGTGTTGATGGTACTTATCGTTGCTTTACGTTGTTTATTTTTTCTTTATTGGACAATTCTTTGCCCCAATTTTATATGTAAATATGTTCAGTTCGTAATTACTTCAACATAAAATAAATATATAATAGATAGATCGTATAATATCTCAATTTACCACCAGAGGTCACTACCTTTTAGGCTTTGATTCAAATGTGACTCATACTTATATGTACATATTTTATAAGCGACTAATTTAACTTTTATTTTTCAAATTTTATATTAAATATAGTATATAAAATACTATACAATTATTTATATGTTTGATTTATATAAAATGGAATTTTTTAACATAGTACAAATCTTCATGTAAATCTGTCACATGTCATAAGAATTTGTGGTAATTCAAGATGGAAGACGGTGAAAATAAAGCGGACGTTGGGCTGGATAAAGAGAAAAAGTCGTACGCCGGAATACCGGAGGCCGAATTTGTTGTAAGTATATCATTCTAACAAAAGATTTACATAATGTGGTATTATAAAATTGGTACTAACATAAATTTTATATATTTGCATTGTACTGTATTACGAAGAATATTTTTACAAAGAAGTAATTCTTATGACTATCACTAATTTTTGTGAAATTCTGTGAAAGAGTAAATTCCATGAAAAGAGAACAAGAAACATTTTTTTCTTTATTTTTATATTATATTTATATATTATTAGGATAATCCATGGAATATACTTTCTCGAAACAATACCCTTATATGGTCACAAAAGAAACATGATATTTGGACTTATCAGAAAATATATATAAGTATTATCTTACCTAAAATATTTTAAATCTAGGATGATGTCGATGCTTTCATGTCAAGACCTGAAAATGAATCAGCAGATAAAGTACTCCAAATGTTGGACGAGAACCATGGGAAGTATAAATTTATGGAATATAATTTATTCAATAAGAGAAAACGTTTGAAAGCTCAAATTCCAGATCTAGAGAGATCATTAGATATGATTAAAAAATTACAGCAAGAGAAAAATGAAAGCAAAGAATTAGAGACGCAATTTCTTTTATCGGAACAAGTTTATGCAAAGGCTGTTATTCCTCCTACTGATAAAGTGTGCTTGTGGTTAGGAGCTAATGTTATGTTAGAATATACTTTGGACGATGCACAAGAAATGTTAACAAAGAATATTGAAGCAGCAAAGAGAAATTTAGGTTATGTTGAACATGACTTAGATTTTGTGAGAGATCAGTTTACTACAACAGAAGTTAATATGGCACGTATTTATAATTGGGAAGTAAAACGCAGACAAGCTACTAAACCAACATGAAGGCTGTTTTTAAATAAATTCAATTTGCACGTGTTGAATGCCTAAAACTCGAAGGGTAATTACATAGTTGAAATAATTGTTGGATGAATTCACGTGTTATTATATTTATTGTAATATATGTATGTTTATAATATATTTTTAATAATATAGAATACTACTATTCTTTTTTTAAGGTTACTCACATTATCAAATGGAAAGAGTCTGTGAATTAAAAGTACTGTTGGAAACTGTCAATGGAATAAAGGACTCGAATACCACATATTTAGGTTATAAGCTAGATACACCAATATTTATGTATGTTGCCTCAAATACATCTGGATTCTAACTTAATATGTTGTTTTGTGTACTTACAGAAAGGTCTATTACCATATTTATTATATTAAACTTAACTTATATTTTGATATTTTTGCAAAAAAATATACAACTTTTATAAAAACCAAAGCAATACATTATGCTTGTTAATATCTGAAATATCACATAAACCAACATTTGATTTGAGCGTAATTTTTTAATTTATCATCCTGCTCGTTTGATTATAAACTACACTCTACATTTATGTACCACGTTTAATTTAGTTGAACAAATATAAAAAGTATTATATGAGCATGATTAAGAAATATGCTTATAACTAATGGAATTTGCACGAATGAAACTTAATTTATCTAATGTTTTAAATTGTCTTGGACAATGATTTGCTATATCTATTTTAAGGCACATAGTCAGTCCGACTTTCTGTGAAAGTCAATGTCCAACAGGGACTAGTATTTTGTTGTCTAAAACTTCGAAATTAAATTATTCTATTCCTTCGTCTGCTTCATATTTCACCAACTTTGCCTTTAACTCTGTGATCTTAGCTTTAGCTTCTTCCAATTCTTCCTTTAATAGTTTCACTTCCACATCAACTTCCGTAATACCTCCTAAATGTAGACGAATATATCTATGATACAATTTAGGAAATATACACTTTCCATTAAAAATACATGTACCGATATTTTTCGTATCATAAACTTATTGAACACATGTTTTAAAGGATACTCTAAAGCATCATCTGGTTTTTCTGGTTCTTCATATAAAGACACAAGCACTTTTGTAAGAGCATCCATAACGCCTGCTCTTTCCAAATATTTTCTGAATTCTTCCTTTTTAGAATCAGGTGGCTAACATTTCAAAAATTAGAAATAATTAATTTTATGCTATGCTTGTACACGATAATCATACAATTTGATGAAAAAAAAACATCAAGTCGCCATCGTTATTAAATTATATTGAATAAAATCGTGTAAAATTAGCATTACCTTAAAATTCGACATTTTTATTACCGAGTTGCCTTTATATAACTGTTTTACAATACTCCAAAGCTATATTTTTATTATCAAACAATTTAAGAAAATTCTGATAACACGTGCATAACAACTCGATACCGTAACGAATTAAACCATTATGATGCTCGTTCAAAACAAATGTCATACATGATTTCCAAAACAACGTATATTCGAAACAATTTTTAATTTAAAGAAGATAATTACCATTGTCAGAAGTGAATATAGCGTATAGTGTCAGTGAAAGTTTATCTGTTCTCTTTCACTGTTTTTCACTAAAATACAATTTACGAAATTAATGTGCCTTAGATATTAAACTTAGAATAGTTTCTTTCGATCGATGTCTCCCTAGTCAACAAAGCATCTTGTTCCGACGCATATCCGATGTTATTTTAAAATTTTATATCTCATGATAAAACTTAAGTAATTGTAAAATAAAATGTCAAACAGTGCAAAATAAAGAATTATAAATAAATTCGATACAAGCATTTAATAAATTTAAAATATATCTTTAAATTCGTTTGTTAACTTAGCTGAAATATAGTATAATGAGAAATGTCGTATATACTATATCGAGGCACTAATCATTCAAAATGGCGAGGTAATGTTCGTAATTTTCTCATCACTTTTTTGGACAAAGAACTTAATAAAAACGAATTTGGGACCATTTTGAAAAAGCTTACTGTAATGTTTCTTGGAAAAAGAGAGTTTTTACGAGCAGTACTGACTAGTGCTATAGGTATTTGTTCGTTCATTGGTGATCAAGGTTTAAAATATGGGAAAACTGCTGCGACACGCGCGATTTTTGACAATGTCACTCATGCAATTGTGGGTGGTCTTACTTGGGCAGTCATTTTAAATTTGTCAAAAAAACCTCTCACTCAAAACTTTTCGACTATTTTCTGCAGTTTTTGTTTGTCCTCTTTTGTTGATGTAGATCATTTTATTGCAGCATGCAGTTGGAAGTTAAGTGTAAGTAACGTCATTACCTTTTATATATAACATATAATCTAAGTTTTAAATTTTGCGACTTTTCTTTGCAGGATGCTACACATTTAGAAAAACGACCATTTTTTCATTGCACTACTCTTCCAATAACAGCATGGCTTATGATGAATTTTTATGCAAGTGTATTTAACCATCCAAAACTCAGCTATTATTCTTGGATAATATTGGCAAGTTTTTTAAGTCATCATATAAGAGATGGTACAAGAAGAGGTTTATGGTTTTGTCCCATTGGTTCTACACAACCTATTCCGTATTATTTATACTTAAGTATGAGTATGATGCTTCCTCATGTGTTGCAATGGTTAATGGCACCATTTGTGCATGAGGTTAAATCTCCAGAAGATGAAACATTAATTGATATTGTATAAATAACGTAAAATAATCAACTAACTGTATATATGTACATATATATGAGAAACGTAATCTCATTTTTACATTAATACCATCTATATTTTTTAAATAATGTATATACTTTTTGATTGCATTTATTATAAATAAATATTATATTTGTACAAATTTTTAAAAAACTACAAGCATTGTAAATATAAAGATGTCTTGGCTACTTGATTAAGAAGAATGAAAATAAAAAATATTTCAAGAAACATCCTTTTTGCATCGTAACAATCCAACTTATTTTAAAAAGCAACAGGAAGACAACTCTTGTATTTATTATAAAATTAAAAACAGGAAAAACATATTACATAATTATCACTCACATATTGCTACATCTTATGGCTATAGCAAGACCAAACAATTTGCCAATAATTTTTAAACAAGTGAAATAATTTCAATTAATAATAATCAAATTAAAAGGGAATACTTCAAGTTTTCGTGTTTGTCTTAAAATAATTTATATAATTTTATATCAGTTAGATCAGAAGTTAATGTATTGGAAAGAATTGTTACGTTCATGATGTTTACATAGGTGTTTCCAAAAGCAGGAATATTGAATAAACATTTATTATTCATTTATATCGATTTTTTCTATCACGTGTCGAACTTTTGATTGCGGTGCAATTGAACGATATCCATATAAATAAGTGTATATACACTGAGGATTTAGAGTGGACACGGAAGACGCGGATGCCCTTGTAAAGTCAGCAGCGTGGACACGTGTGTATACGTACACCTTCTACAAGCTGGAGGGGTTTATCAGCATTCAGCATTGCTTTGCTGGCACTCTTACACACTTTACTTCACTCTTGTATTCGTTCGCGGCCATATATCAGTGTTTATTTACCTAGCTACCTCTCCTATCGAGCAACGATAGAGTTTACGTCGGTGTCCAAAGAAGTTCGCAATTTTATTGCTAGTGAAACGATCGGTCTCACAATCGAAAATTCCAACTGTGTTATTATCCTCTTCTTTCATGTTTTCACCATGACGCTGCCCGATTTTTATCGCGAAAACTTCGTTTGCTTTGAACATGCTTTTGGTGAACAATTATTGCTCGTTAGTTGTGCTGCGCGAGAAAGTTATCGGTGACATCGAGTTTTATTTTCTCCATTGTGTTACACCCTCTTGCATACAACATTTTTTAAAGGCGCATATAATAGCGTCTTGTAAAAGATTTCGTCAAATAAGAACTCTACAATACCGCCAGATTTTCGCAGATATCGCATCAACCACGATAACACGTTGATACCGATATCTTGATTGTGCGTCAGTCCAGCATTGTCTCCAGGGAGGTCCCGTATTACTATTACTTCGTTTATAGTATATTTATCATGGTGAGTATATGCAATTTTGCTTTCTTTATGGATCGTTTCTATAACGATCCTAAGGTCAGATCCTTGCGACTTCTGACCACAAATTGTATTCCAGCTAATATGTACAAATCGCTTTAATATACACATACATCAAGGTTGCCGCTCGTCTTACAATTATAATGATTAAATGAGTGTTCATTTACAGACTCATTCTGAGTAATTGTTCTATGTAATAGAACAGTAGAATTTTGCGTTTGTAGGTAGTTAATTAAATTAAATAATCGTCATTACTTATCACGCATGCATGAACGCTTCATGAAGTTTCACATGAAACGAGGTTAATCACAGACTCGTAATCAAGTTTGTTTTGTAATACTAATTACGGCGACTCGAGCGGTTCCCTTTTAGAGATGCAGCTATGTACATACTTTCAAAGTTGAATTGGCGCAAGAAGAATCACTGAAAAGTGATTTGTGAGGAATATTTAAAATCTTATTGTATAGTATATATATTTTAAGATGATATCATTCAGTAGCATATACATATGCATTATTTCACTTATCTCAAACGTGTTTTGTATAATAAAACGAATCAGCGATTCGTAGATATCCTGCTTGTTGCCGATATATATGTTTATCAAGTTTCATGTCATTTTGACATGTGACGCGTTGAATGCAGGTTGTGAAATAAACGCCTCGAGGAAATGCAAAGCAACCGTGCGTGACAAAGATTCTTTCACATTCTTGCATTCTCACTATGTCCATCTTGTTACGCCCTCGCTCTATTGGCACATTTCGAATTGGCACGCGAGTGTCATATCAGAAGGGATTCTTTATCTTCTTTGGTTGATCGTCGTTTCTAAAACAAATTATATCATTAAATATAATTAACGGCGAAAGTTCGGAATTTCTAAAACTATCTTATCGAAGATCTCTTATCAGCGAAGGTCTAAAGTTAAATGTTTGATTTTTCAGGAAGCCGATGACTTGTTGCTGTATTTTGCTATAGCAGCAGGTGTCGTTGCCGGTGTTCTGTTGCTACTCTTTGTTTTAGTGTGTGTACTGTTTGTCAAAGTCAATCGATTATCGAAAAATGCGTAAGTATCTTTTTACAAACAGTAGCTCTTTCTTTTCCTCATTGATGTGTGCCGATGCCGAATTCATTCCCGATTTTCGCTTTCAACCATTTTTCACATTCAACGCAAACGCTGTTCCAAGCTTTGCTTAAAAGAGGGAAATGGGAGGAAATGGCTTTGCTTCTTGAATGATTTTGAGTTTGAACCTATTTTAATTGAAATATTTGACGGGTTTTCTGATTAAACTCGGTGGATATTCAGTGGCATAGCCGGCGTTTCGTTTTATTGGGACGGGCCACGTTCTCGACGAACTAGGAATCCGAATAAGTCACGTAAGATTTATATTCTAAACGAATGAAAAGAAATATTAATTCATGACTCACTACGGTATTGATATCGTATCTTTGCTGCGCGCGACGCGCTTATTTAGCTTATCTTTGTAAAAGAATGTGAAATGGATACGGGAATTAAAATGGCTTGCACGCGATTCCTCTTTTTCTTTTCTTTTTTATTTTTTTTATTTTTTTTTAATATTTATTTTCCTGACTGTCTAAAGTATACCTATGCATATTTCTAAAGTGAAAATATTTCTCGAATAAATTTAGAATTGCTTTTACATTATATTTCTTAGCTTCTAGTAAGAAATTTATCTTCTTCTAAATCGGTAAAAATTGTTCAGGTTCAATCAACTGCATAAACAAACCATGATAGCAGACTATTGTTACACGAACCCGACGATCGTGCCAGGAGAATTGCTATCACGTCGAGGATTTTCGATGTACAGCGGTTCCGATAACATTGATGATGATTACAGAACGAAGAGGGATCATTCTGGCAGTTATCTCGAGGCACGATCAAAATTCTGACACAACACTTTATAATATAAACAGTTTGTCGAATGCGTGATTTATGTAAAATCCATCATACAACAAAAGAAAAAAAGGCTCGACTAATCTGGCGCAATTAATTAATTATATTCTCACGCGAATTTAATTATTATCTGCCATAAAATTTGTTTGTACATATATAGTTATTTATACATGTAGAACTTCGCTTTTGATATGAAATGATCAAACTAAAAGTAAAAACCTATTTTTTTTTTTTTAGAAAATATGAAACAGTTGAAGAAAAATAAATCGTGTTTAGGTTTATTTTATCTATAAATGATAATGTCCTGTAAAAAGAAAAATCAACTACTTAGGAATAGTACGTTTGGTTGCCGGTAGGTTACGCTATATGCGTTAGCCACGGAGAAATAGTTCACGATGATAAGTATTAAAATTCAGGATAAATATAAATATAACATATAATCTATCGCATAATTTAATTAAAATTATTATTAAAAATTGTCTACATTTCTTCGTTATCTCGTTGCCATCTTTTGTTTTAATCATTCATTTTTTTCATTTCTAATAATTATTAGTGATTGAATTCCAAAGATTCTTTATGTCGGATAGCGTCTATTATATTTGTAACGTGTAATAATTATAATAAAATAATATTTTGTTTGTGTTTCTTATTTCGTTGTCTATTTATCATCATTTTATAGCGACAATTTTTCAATCAGAAAATAACCTAATTGGTCACTTCAATAAATATATAAAAGAAAAAAAAAAAAAAA